ACTTGAAAAAAAATGTTTAAATAAAACATTGATGACAAAACTCTCTACGTTTATGGCAATTTTTATTAATATGTTTTAAATACTTAACCAATTTCATGTGCCTCAGCAGAATAGTATCCCATAATGATTATGGAGGTCATTCCATGTGAATTTTAGACTCGCAAATCATGCAAGGTAACAGCTAAGCAAGTGACACAGACAGAGAACAGAGAGAGAAAGAGAGGGTGAGAGAGAGAATACAGAAACATACCATGGTGTACAACAAGTTGATTTTATTCACTACATCGCCCCAAGCAACAACGACCAAACCACCTGAAACAATCACAGAGACACTTGCTGAAAGCAGACCATGGCCCACATAAATGATCAGCACCTGGCCAGGCTCCGTGACGGATAACTGGACGCTTTTTGCCAGAGGTATTTAATTAGGCCCGTTGTGTATGAAGGTCATAAAGCGCTAAGTGGGCTATATGATAGAAGTAGGTCATGATCATCATGACCTATATTGAAAGCATAGGATGCAATATTTGGAAAAAAAAGGTCAAAAAGCAAAATGTTTCCGAGGATATATGCTGAAAGAATAAAGGATGGCATCATGTTTGAGAACTGAAACATGTTTTACAACATGTTTGCATGGTTTGAATTTCAGTAACATGTACAGATATTTGAAAATGTGCAAATGAATACTCACAAATTTGTTTTAAATTACAAAGATCAATTATCAGAAGTCTTTATTAGTATACAGATATGGGCACATATAAATATAGCAACATATAAAGCAGGCATGCAGGCAACTGATAAAATAAATTATATGAAATAAGAAGTATAATAAAAAACATCAAAAGTTATCCTTTTATCTTTATAACAGCAATTAATGCTTTTGATATCTCTACACAAATACAGAGACCAAACATTACAAACCACTGACAAAACAAAAATGGATGAACTGTAAATAAGCAAATAGATGAAAGTTACAATTTTGTACATAAATTTTATACTGTACCAACTCCATGCACACCTACCTAAGCACTGTCTCCAGTCTACAAATACATCCTCGACCAGAAACAGTCTACATACTCTATCACTGGTGTGGTTCTTAAGTGGTAGTAACTGAGCACTGGAAATACAATAAAAATTATATGATTTTACATTTAAATACAATTTACAATGTTAAATATTTACAGCAGTATTTATCTTCACTTAAAAATATTGTGTGCAAATAATTAATTGTGGGAGACAAAGCAACTGTGCACTTACCACATTACTGGGAGTGTGTAATTTTGTTTTTATAAAATGCATCATCATCAACATTTGGAGCTTTTTAAAGTGAACACTGTTGGACAAGACCTCAGCTTTCTGTTTCAGTGTATTCTGTCTTACATTTTGGACTTAATTTGTTTCTTTTTTTTTTGTAGTATTCATTATATAGAAAATCAATATGACCTAAAGTTGCCAGGCCCTATGTTTTCTTTTTAATTTAAACATTATTTGTCATTCAGTAATTTACTGTAAATACTATAATTTGTCTGTTTCAATCACTGAACAGTTTGGTTGGATATACTCAGGAAATATAATGCAAAATTACTATACATTACAATACATGTACCATGACTTTACATGTTGGGATTTATTACTCTTGCAACATCAAACTCTACATGAATTGGTACTTATTGATAACTTAATAGCTTGGCTATTGCGCAAGACTGTAACCTAACTTGAACCTCCACGCTAAAAAAAAAAAAAAAAAACTGCACTTTCAAAGGGATACTATGAAATGCAACATCAAGGGACACTATGAAATGCAACATCAAGTTACTAATACCTTACAAAAACAATGTTATATAATATAATTCTACCAACAAGGACACATGCTTTAAATAAAATCATTCCCTCAGTGTCATGCAATACTGCCAAATCATAACTTGGTAGATTAGTATTTATAACAATATTTCAGCCACAAAATTTCTAAATTAAAAGCATCCTTCACTGTAGTACTTAGTTGTACATAACTGGCCGCTAATTCCTAATTACAACAATCTCAATGTCACAAAAATAGCCAATTTATTATTACTGGATCAATAAAGCTCCATTGAGCTGTGCCCTCTTTGTTGACTTTATGCTGGATATACATTAGTGATCAATGTGTTGTTCCAAGGATGCACAACAACTTGGTTATGACAGGGTTCACCTACAGAATGTGACTGGATGTGTACTGCTCAAAGGGAGGTTTCTTCTCTCTGGCAGTTCAAGATTATAAACTACACTTAAACCAAATGTATAAATTTCAAATACTGTAATAACAGTAACTCCTCCCCTCCCCTCCTCAAATACATGTAACTCATTGTGACATTTTAGAACCAGAACATTTGCTCAAATTACAAGAAGATTCAAGTTAAGCAAAGTACAATGCACATATAATTTTTGCTGATATCACATAAAAGTTCAGAAGCTTTATTTTGTGAAAAAAATACTTCAATGTTCATGATAAGGTATATTTATAAATAAAATATATAATAATGAGATAAATAATAATTTGAGCTATTTGATGATGAATTATGCATTCTACTGAATATACTACATTGCATCTTATTCAGATGTCTGTTATTAATTTATTTTCACTTACAAAGTTGAGAACTCCAAATACTCTTCACTGCCAAGATGTAACTCTTCAATTTTCAGGTAAACTTTGATCAGCTCTTCTATTGTGCAATCTACAGCTGAAATAATGTTTCATGTCTTTTAGCACAGAAATAATCTACAAAGAATAATTCTTCATAAATATTTATTAAAATGTTTGGAAAAGACAATTATAATAACTAGTATAATAAGGGTGTTTGTTTAATGTCTCTTTTTCAACTGATCTTACTTTTTATCATTAATGACTTTGCTTGTCTACAAATATCTGTGAAAAAATCTTAAAAATTCATATTGCTAAATAATATTTAAAAAAAAATTCTAAAAACGCAAGTGCATAAGGTGTACATCTCTATGGGGGAGGGGGGGGGGCTGCTCCAGGGGCTAATGAACATAAATATTTAGATACCCGAATAAATGTGAAAGACTCCTAAATACATTTTATACAATGCAGATATACTCAGATAATGCAATCTAAATAACTTGGCAAGATCACATCAATGAGTTTTTACTTTTACAATCAAAGTATTTATACTGGACTTGATAGCAGATCAAATAAAAGATGCAAATAAAAGTGCAAACGATGACGTATTTTACTTCAGCTATTTTATGAAAATAATGCGGTTTTCCTGCTCATTAATCATTGACATTGTCAGATGCTCGAGAAACTCACCATACGTGATATCATTATTATACTTTGGTGTCATGTAGCTGTGTTGTATTCCCATATTCAGATAATGCAGAATCCGTGAATCCCATTTCTCCAAAGTTTGAGTTTAAAATCCAGCTTTCATATCACACACATAAGTGAAGTATCAGATTAATGCTGCACAAATCTCCAATTAGAACCAAAACCGGGTTGCAATATTCTCTTCCCAACTATCTGGCATCTTACATACCCCACACTGATGCATAATGCATTACAAATCCTTAATAACATTCAAGTACAGATTGCGAAATATTCACTTCCCAACGATCCGACATCTTGTAAACATTGCTTACACTGCCATCTATTGGGGGGAAATTACCAAGACAATCCATCAGCGATATCCATCCGCAATATCACGAATGTCGATGTAAGAATCAGATTATTCGTAAATGAATCACAATCATAATAATATCATCAGATCATGTTGTCTTTTTTTCCAAAGCTTTTAAAATGTAAACGTAACTTGGCTTATCTTGCACGTTCGGTTTACGGTGGCCGCCATCTTGCTGTGAGGGAAGCGTGAGTACGATTGTTTCGTTTTATCTCTGCATAGTTTACTCATACCTTCTTCTACCTGCGTGTAGTCTGAATGGTTGAATTTGTCTGAAATAGTTGGATGAATTATTCCACGTGTTTGTAATAAGAAATATGCTGTCATAATAACGATCGTTTTAAAAACCAACCGGTTCGGCACCGTTTGTCATTGTTTGTAATGTAGTAAATGTTTGCAGAGTGAATGCGGTTGATTATCCTTCATCAAAATCAAACCGGTTGGCGTGTTGCTAATAGCTGTATAGACAGAACCGGCTTTGTCTCAAGTATTTTGAATGAAGTCCACTTTTGAATTTCGAAATAATCTGCTTGAGTTCGAAATGATAACACTACAGCTGCAGATTCAGATTCAGATTCTTTATTGACAAACACCTTCACATAAAGGTATAATCAATGACAATACTACTAACTATAACATAGAACAGACAAATAAATAAATATATATATATATATATATATATATATATATATATATATATATATATATATATATATATATATAGAGAGAGAGAGAGAGAGAGAGAGAGAGAGAGAGAGAGAGATTAGTATATTGTTGATATCAATGACTATACAAATAGATACGTATGTCGCATTTCATAATCATAGCTGTAATTATGTCAGTGAAATGTCATTAGAAGTAGGAAAACATTGGTTTCCTTCCCAGTGATAGTTCTTTTACTTTGTCTGTATTATCAGATTGAAGAGTTTCCCAGAACATAAGGCCAGAGACATTTTTTAAATAAATTTATATTTTTCAGGTCATATAATATTTACTCTGTTCCATCTGAGGTTAATCACACAGACCCAAGATGGATGCAGATCTCTATGATGAGTTTGGGAACTACATCGGACCTGATTTGGAAAGTGACGATGATGAGGATGAAGAAGAACAGCAGGAAGATGAGGAAGAGGAGGCAGATGTAAGAAACTTTTTTTTCTTTTATTAATGTTTTACATGTTTAAGAATCTCTAAAGATGGTGGGAATTGGTCAGAAATAGGAGCACTGTTGGGGGTAGCACGAAAATTCATGCGTAAGCACTCCTATTGACGATTCAGATATGTACTGTTAGCACAGACAGAACATATCAGAATCGTCAATAGGAGTGCTAACGCATGAATTTTCGTGCTATGTTGGGGGCTGGGAGGGGGGCATAAAAGTTCTCTTAACAGTTCTATGTCAGGTAATGGGCATTTTCCTGTGGTAAAAAGACAATATAGTTGAATTATATGTTTCCAGAAATTCATCAAAATCAATTGCCTACAATGTACATATCTTAGAAAAAATCTTGTTTGAGATTCAAGCATTATACACATAAATACACAGTTAACTTTGAGAAACAAACTGCTCAGGATTATTTCACCTTAATGTGACCACTAGAATGATACATATTTTTGTGATTATCTTTTTCTTTGTAGGAGGAGGAGATGGACATGGACCGCGATGATGACCAAGACATCAATGACATGCAGGTGGTACTACACGAAGACAAGAAATACTACCCCACACCTGAGGAGGTGTATGGACCAGAGGTAGAGGTAAGTCTGTAATAAAATACTACCCCACACCTGAGGAGATATATGGACCAGAGGTAGAGGTAAGTCTGTGAAACTGTAGTCTGCCTCAAAAACAGTTTCTGCACTGGTCCACCTGGACAGCAGAATCTTATGTTACTAAGACAAAATAATGGACATTTCCTTAAATTTTTGAAAAAATTACTGCCATAGTTTCAATATTATTTATATTAAGCACTGGACTAGTGTTAAAGATGGGTTGAATTATACTTTATTTTGGTGCACTCTTGAGACCTGTTTTCAAGAGTTCCCTACCCTCAACTTATTGGTGATGGTGAGTTTTTTGTCACTTTGATTCAATGAAATGTACAGTGTGCCTTTTCTGCCTCTATTATATTAACTCTTCCTTTAGTTGGCTCTGGCAGAATTAGTTTTTAGGGTTCTTTTTGATGTAATTCTGCATTTATTTTAAATGTATGATTTTTATTATTAGACAATAGTTCACGAGGAGGACACCCAGCCCCTGACGGAGCCCATTATTGCCCCTGTCAAGAGGACAAAGTTCCAAGTTGCAGAACAAGAACTGCCAGAAACAACTTATAACATAGAGTAAGTTTGGATTAGGGAGGTGTTACAGCTTATATAGTGATATCATGGCAAAATGGGGTTTGGAAGTTATATTTTTTATATAATTATGATATTTTGTCATTGTATGTTATATTTTGCCTTTTTGGAGGAAAGAGAACTAGAATGGAAATGTTTTTCTTAAAAGATAGGTCAGTTGACTTAATTTTTCCTATGTCTTTTTCAACATTAAACAATTATTCATTAACCTATAAAAATTGATAAACAATGAAAAGACTAAAGGTAGAGTGTGAAATTCGATTTTATTTTGCATTTCTTTTCTTTCACCACCAGGTTTTTGGCAGACTTGATGGACAACCCAGACCTGATCAGGAATGTGGCACTGTGTGGTCATCTCCACCATGGCAAGGTCAGTGTCTACTGGACGGTGGTCTAGCTACTGTAGGGGTGCTGGGAAAACTGTACTTATCATTCTCCCTGTGCTTGTGTTTTTCCTGATATTCCAAAAAAAGAAAAAAAGAAGCTACCTAGTAGTTTTGTTTATCTGCTTATATTATTCTGATGTTTATTTATGTACATTTTTTTTGTCTCCAAATGCCTGTGCTTCCTGTGACATGCCATAAAGTTGCCACACTAGAAATTAAAGTTACTTATGAGTCTGAACCTTGTATAATTCTTGCCTAGTTATTCATTAACAAATTAAATTTACGTGGCATTTTATTATTTATAGTTTTTGTATGTTATTCCTGTTGTAGACATCATTTGTGGACAGTTTGGTGGAGCAGACACACCCGGAGATGGAAATAGAGGAAGGGAAAGATGTAAGCTCATGACCTTAGCCTTTGACACTTGACATAGTTTTGAGCTCTTTAAAAAAAAAAAAAAAAAACTTTTGAACAAATTTTCAAGGCCACGTGCGTGGGTTGAGGTCCCTTTCGATATATTAAGAAATTTGGTTACAGCTTATTACTTGCCGTGGAATACTTTAATTTGTGGAATTGTTTTGGATATGGTTTAACATTAAGCAAGGCATTGTGTTGTAAATTAGACATGGAGGTTGAACGACACAGCAAGACTCCCTGAAGGTTGGAAAATGGTATATCTAGGGCACTTAAAGATGAACACACCTTCTTCATAGCATATTTGGCAAATATGGTTCATATATCTTATTTTGTTTTTCAGCTTAGGTACACAGATATTTTGTTTACAGAACAAGAGGTAGGTTAGCAGGTATCTAAAGAACAAGTGCAAACTGGGTGTTCAGATATTATCATGTCATGTAAAAAGTTGATTATTTTTCAGTGAGAAATGTCATTTCAAAAAATGAGCTAGTGAGAAAAAATGCATAAAGAGATAATTACGCCATGTCTAGGTGATAAAACTAATTTAAGGGCATTGGTCATATAAATGCAATACCTTCCAGTTTGGGTTGGACTATCCTTTGCATCAGTGTTACTTATATTGTAAGTGCATAAGTCGTATGTATGTGTGTGGGTGCATGCGTGAGTGCATGTGCGTCTTGTTATCTCCATATTAAAGAAATATACTATATGTTTCCAGAGAGGTCTAAGCATCAAATCACTCCCTGTGAGTCTCTTGCTACAAGACACCAGGACAAAGTCATACCTCGTCAACGTGTTCGACACGCCAGGACACGTCAACTTCTCAGACGAGGTGACAGCCGCGTTCAGGATGTGTGATGGCGCTGTTATCTTTATTGATGCTGCAGAGGGGGTGAGTTTTAGTAAATGGTGCATGACTCATTGTGACAGCCTCTGGTTGATGTGAACTCTTAGAGACAGCACAAAGCAGCCTCTTAAACTAGTGACAAGACATAGAAATGGTTGACACATGCACACACATACAATCTGATGTCTTCAAACAATATAGACCAGTTCTAACTGAAGTTCTTGCTGCAAGGTGTATACTTGAACTGCATGTACATTATACATTGATTCTCTTGTCATTTTTGCATCAGCACGTGCTGAATAACATACGCACAGTTTGAGTAGCAAAACACAGTTTACACTAATACCTGAAAAAGTGCATGATAATATAGTTTAGGTTATTCAGTGTAACGTTTACTCACCTGGGTGGATGAAAATGACAATATAAATATAATTTTAAATGAGTACGCTATCAACCAATTATAACATTCATGACTACTCCTGACTTACTAAAGACAATTGTTTCAGTCAAGTTACTATAATATAAATAATTACTATTACTCAATTGCTGATAGTATAAATCACATATAAAATAATGCTAATTCTCTGACTCCAGGTGATGTTGAACACAGAACGCCTCATCAAGCATGCCCTCCAGGAGAAGCTAGCAGTCACAGTGTGTATTAACAAGATAGACAGATTGATACTGGAGCTCAAGCTGCCACCCACTGATGCTTATTATAAACTGAGACACATCGTGGATGAAGTCAATGGCCTGATAAGGTACATTGTCCTCTTTTCCTCTATTTTATTTTCTTGTCAGTTGTGTTTTTCAATCTGCATGTTTCTCGGTTCTGGGGATATTTTCCAGTTATCCCTCTTAATTCCCTTCCTCTCTATTTTAAGACCTCTCATCGCAGAGAATTTCTCTTTGGGTAAATCTTCCCTCTTAATCCCTTTTCTCTCTATTTTAGACCTGACATTGCCTAGGATTTCTCTCTCTCTCTCTCTCTCAAGTCAAATTATTTTCCTTATTTTATAATTCCATTCATCTCTTTATATGCCCCCTCTTTGTGCTTGTCTAAATCTGTTCAATTTTCAGTAAATTTAGCTCTCAATACAAATCCTACTAGATACATTTTGTCTTTTGTCCTTATAACAAAGTATGGGAAAAAAGGAATATTGATTGCATTTTTTTTTTCTGACTATTTATTTCCAATGCCACTATTTTCCCTGTTCCAGCACGTTTGCAGATGAGGAGGAAGACATGTCGGTCTCCCCTCTGAAGGGCAATGTCTGTTTTGCCAGTTCATACTACAGGTTTTGCTTCACTCTCAGCTCATTCGCTAAGATATACTCTGATACGTACGGTGGTATTAACACATACGAGTTTGCCAGGAGACTGTGGGGAGATATCTACTTCAACAGCAAAACGTGAGTTGTTATGTATTTATTTATTTGTTTGTTAATTTATTTATTTAATTATTATTTTCCCTAATATTGAGAGTAAAGGTTTTCTTTGTGTGTGTTGGGTTGAAGTTGACTTCAACAGTAGCAAGACATGAGTCATTTAATATACATATGGATATATATTTAGATATGGATAGTGAAAAATTAGATACAGCAAGAAAGGTTATCTCAAAGGAAATGGAGAAATTTATTTAAACTATAGCCAACTCGGTATAAGTGTGAACAAAGCTTTTGGTTTTTTATGACATCTCTGCTTTTAAACATTAACATTTTTCTTCATGTTTAGGAGGAAATTTTCAAAGAAACCTGCCAACAGCACATCCCAGAGAAGTTTTGTGGAGTTTATACTAGAACCACTGTACAAGATATTTTCTATGGTAAGCCTCTTGAAAAGATGATTGTGCTTAATCATGTACTATTTTAATAGAAGTTTTGTTGTTTTAGTTGTTATTATTATATCAGTTTTTAAGTTAAAAGAAAACTGGTAGCATTTTTATGAGTTTGAACACAAAACAAATATCAGTGATTGATGAGGAGAAACATCCTCTTTGTTAGAGGGAAAGTCTGTTTGGTGGTAAAATGGATTTTATTATATTTATATGAGTTGTGTACAATGTTTTCAGTGTGAAATATGAAAATCATATCAACAGTTGTTTTCCCTTTAAGTCTTTGACGAAATGTTTGGCAATATAGCCAATCCAAGCACTAATTCCCCTCATTCTACAGACTGAGAGGGAGGTGGTGGTGGTGTTGGTGGTGGTGGTGGAGGGGGGGACGGTATAATTTAAACTCCAACTAAATATCCAGGATATTAATCACTTAACACCATTTGTAGACCAGGAGAGGAGAACATGGATGAACTTTGAAATATTTAAATCTTCGGCAAAATATTTGACAGTATATCCAGTTCAAACCTTAATTCACCTCGTTAATCTCCAGACTGTTGGGGATGTGGATCTTAACCTGCCGCAGGTGTGTGAGGAGCTGGGGATCAGTCTCACCAAGGAGGAGAGGAAACTGAACATACGGCCCCTTCTCAGGATTGTACTGAGGAGGTTCTTTGGGGATTTCTCAGGTAGATTTGGTTGAGGTTTGCTTTTGTGGTCAAAATATCAATAGTATGTTCTTTGGGGACTTTCTAAGGTAGAATTGGTAACTTTATCACTATATTTTAAAGCCTTATCTATGACCTAGATCAGTTTGCTTTGCAATTTATAACTAGGTCTTTTTCCATCATTTCTATCTCAGGATAAGTAACATAATAATAAATCAGTTAAGTTTCATATTTTTTAAGTATTTATTTTTTTTTTTTGTGTGTGTGTAGGCTTCGTTGACATGTGTGTGCAGCACGTGCCCTCCCCTGGGGACCACGCCAAGTCCAAAGTAGAGCACACGTACACAGGGCCTCTGGACACGGAGCTGGCAGACTCCATGACACAGTGTGATCCTGATGTAAGTCTTTAAGATGTTCTCACAGTTTTACTCTTTGTGGGTTATATTCAGCCGCTGATTCAGAACTGAAACAAGCAGGGTCTTTGTTTCCAAATTTTCATACATGTCCATGGTGTTTGCTGGACTTGAGTTAACTCCATCACTATCAGTCACAGACCAAATAAAGTGTTCAGGATTGGAAGTTAATAGCAACATGCCAACCCTCTTGAATGACAGTAGATTTGATGTGTGTGTGTGTGTGTGTTTTTGTTTTTTGTTTTTTTGCATGTCTGGGAATTCCAAAATAAATACAATTACAATTGGGCTTTCGTCTTACAGGGTCCTCTGATGATCCATACCACAAAGCTTTACCCGACAGAAGATGCTACGGCATTTCACGTGCTTGGTCGCGTGATGAGTGGCACGCTGTATGCGAACCAAGATGTCAAAATTCTCGGGGAGAATTACTCATTACAGGATGAAGAAGACTCCAGGTTTGGTCAGGTGGGAAGACTGTGGATATATGAGGCCAGGTAGGCATGGGAACAGTGTTGTCATAGCAACAGTCATGTCATGGCAACAGTGTATGCATGGCAACAGTATAACCATGGCAATGACATAGATCAAATGTAAAGTGTAGAATAATGTGGGCTGTACCTAGCTAGTAAATATGCTAGGCAGTCTGAGCTGACTCATACTGTTGATTTTACTGAAGAAGTTTCACTGTTTGGGTTATTAGTGGAAAGATCATGTTAATGCAGAGATGTTTATTTCCATTTGTGTAGGCCAGTTAATATATTAGATGGTCAGCTCTTCATGATGTACAAAAGTGAATTGTATCTTTAAGCTTACTCACTGTGGAATGAAAATTAACCATGTTACTGCCAAAAATTATATCATATACTTCATCTTTCTTGAATACTTAAAGGAATCCATATGCCTAAAGTTTAAAACTTGGTTGTTTACCTCCTTCGCTTTCTGTCTCTCCAGATACAAGATAGAGGTGAACCGTGTGCCAGCAGGCAACTGGGTGTTGATAGAGGGCATAGATCAGCCCATAGTAAAGACTTCTACTATAACAGAGGCCACAGGGAATGAAGAGGTGAGTTGAGGTGGTTGGAAGGGGAGGAGGGGGGTGGGGGAGGGCATAGATCAGCCCATAGTAAAGACTTCTACTATAACAGAGGCCACAGGGAATGAAGAGGTGAGTTGAGGTGGTTGGAAGGGGAGGAGGGGGGGGGGGAGGGCATAGATCAGCCCATAGTAAAGACTTCTACTATAACAGAGGCCACAGGGAATGAAGAGGTGAGTTTCAGTATCATATTACACAGGTGGTCAAAGGGGTGGGGTGGGGGTGGGGAGTGCAGGTGTGTAGAACAGGCAAATTGTTTCACTATCTGGGAACTGTTCCACAGAAACATTTTTGTCAAAAGTTGGTTGTAACTCAGAAATTCAATTGTTTGGTTTATTTCATTCCATGGCAACTGACATGTATTTACTTTAGGATAAATTACTTACTCCATTGGTTATTTTCTGGTTTCCAGGCCTTCATCTTCAGACCTCTGAAGTTCAACACAAGTTCTGTGATCAAGATAGCCGTGGAGCCGGTCAATCCATCAGAGCTCCCCAAGATGTTGGACGGACTGAGGAAAATTAGTAAAAGTTACCCTCTTGTAACAACAAAGGTACAATGTTATTTATTTTATTTGTGCATTTTATTTTATGTTTTTATTTTTTTTAAATTTATTTCATAATTTTGTCATTTCCTGTACTTTATTATTTCTGATTTGAGTATGAAATGAAAAACTTGTATAAAAACATTATATTATATTATATTATATTATATTATATTATATTATATTATATTATATTATAAACAGGTAGAAGAGTCAGGAGAGCACATAGTGTTGGGGACAGGGGAGCTGTATCTGGACTGTGTGATGCATGATCTCAGAAAACTGTATTCAGAAATAGGTAAGTCACTGCTGTGTATATCATGGCCACAATATTTGGCTTTTATAATTATTATTATAATTATTTTAATTTATTTAACATTTTGCTTTTGCTGGTCATTTTGAATGGCAAAGGTTACATTAACTTATTTATTTATTCATTTAGATACAAACATTTGTAATTCTAATTATTTTTTCTCTTGACCAGATTGTGTTGTTTTGTTAAAATCAGGCATTTTTTAGCTATTATCTGCCAGAGATGAAAAAGAAAGAAACCAGATTATCTGTCTATGTTTTGTTTATTTGCAGACATTAAGGTAGCTGACCCAGTAGTAACTTTCTGTGAGACAGTGGTCGAGACTTCCTCCCTCAAATGTTTTGCTGAAACACCCAATAAAAAGTTGGTATTTTCTAGACGCTCTCAGACATAGCTTCTTCTGAAGACAATATAATTAGTTGATAGTCAGAATCAATGCAAAAGCAAATCTGATTACTTATCCATTTATTTATTGATAATTATTATTATTATTATTAAAAAAATAATATATTATTAGTTTTTTAAAAAATTAACATTTTAATCATTTTTATTATTGGCTAAGATGTATTTGTGTTGGTGCACTGATATGTTAAAATGAATGCAACATAATTATTGTAGAATTAAGTCCGTAAAAAGGTAACAATTGATAAAATGAATTATTTAATCGAATTCAGAAATAAAATCACAATGATTGCTGAGCCGTTGGAGAAGGGACTGGCTGAGGACATTGAAAATGAGGTCGTACAGATCACATGGCCCAGAAAGAGGCTTGGGGAATTTTTCCAGACAAAGTACGACTGGGATTTGCTGGCTGCTCGTTCCATTTGGGCATTTGGTCCTGATGCAACTGGACCCAATATTCTGGTAGATGATACCCTGCCCTCTGAGGTGAGTTGGCACTTTTTGAAGGTGTGGTAAGAATGATATTTTTCTGAAATCTTGGAAGTCATGCCTTTGTTAGATAAAGTAGATGTATTCCTTTTTTTCTGTTCTTTTTAAATCAATGATGTTGTTAAACACATCCAAGAAAAAAAAGCCATATTTTTGGGGTAATTTCTGTTGGTGCTGCACTTAAAACTCTGATAAGTAATGATAAGTCTGTTATCTAGCAGTCCGATTTCTGTTTTTATATGAATTTTTATATTTATATATTAATGGCTGAATAAACTCTTATCTTATCTTATTATCTTTGATATGGGGGCCACCTTTCCTAAAATCTAGAGGTCATTTCTAAATTACATGCCTTGGGTATGGATGTATTATTATACTGTGAAACTGTATAGTTTTTTTTTTTTTTTTTGTGATGAATTCAAAAATGTAGTAAACTGTGTTGTCTTTAGTGTTATTTCTACGATTCCTTGCAAGCATATTTTTCTTTTTTGTATCTCTTATCCTTTCTTATTTTTTAAAATAATTTTTTTATTCTTTTATTTATTTGTTTGTTTGTTTAATTGTTTATTTATAGTTTTGAAAAGGACCTCCTGAACTCAGTGATAGACAGTAAATTGTGTTGATACTTTCTCTTAACTTTTCTCTCGTTGGCAAGGCCGTTTAGAACTCTCTGCTAGACAGTACATCTTGTTGATATTAGAGCTCAGCTTTGATTTCTTTTTGTTTGGGCTGACAAAGACCTGAACTCTGTGAAAGACAGTATATTTTAGTGATGATGATGACTTTGAATTTTTTCATCCCAGGTTGACAAAGGTCTCTTGAACTCTGTGAAAGACAGTATTGTCCAAGGTTTCCAATGGGGCACGAGGGAAGGACCTCTCTGTGATGAACGTGAGGACTTTTTATTTATTTATTCATTTATTTATTTTGCTTGTTCGTCAGTTTGTTTACGCTTATTTTTTAGTTTTTTATTTGAAAATCACATTTCTCTACAAAGATCAAAAATATATCCAGCAAATAATGATGCTCTTTCAACAAAAGTAAACAGGTTGAACATTCTTTGATGATTAAAAATGGATGAAAGGCCCCTAGTCAATAACTGAACATTTTTCCATAGAACAAGTTTTTCTGAAAGTTGCCTTAATATTTCATAGTTTTCCACAGCTATCAGAAATGTGAAGTTAATGAAGATTTAAAATGGATTTAATGGCCCTATTCACCAAAAAAGTATTTTTATATACATCATGGTAGTTACATTTTATGAATGCTCCTGTTACATAAGATAATTAAATTGGTGGTGATTATGTTTTTAACTGTGCATAATTAAAATTTGGTGTTCATTTGGCTATTTAACAGTATGTAGTAAAGCATCAAAATTTACAAAATAACCTATTTTGTGCATAATTATTTTCTGTTTCTTGCCTGTACATTTGACAGCTCTATTGCCTTATATAATAGTACAAGTTTGTCTTAAACTTGAATAAATATTCTCTTGTTTTGCCACTGTGCCAGCTGTCAAAAATGTGAAGATCAAAATTCTATTAATTTAAGATTGATGAAATGCCCCTATTCATACAGTCATANATTATTGGCTAAGATGTAGTTGTGTTGGTGCACTGATATGTTAATATGAATGCAACATAATTATTGTAGAATTAAGTCTGTAAAAAGGTCACAATTGATAAAATGAATTATTTAATCAAATTCAGAAATAAAATCACAATGATTGCTGAGCCGTTGGAGAAGGGATTGGCTGAGGACATTGAAAATGAGGTCGTACAGATCACATGGCCCAGAAAGAGGCTTGGGGAATTTTTCCAGACGAAGTATGACTGGGATTTGCTGGCTGCTCGTTCCATTTGGGCATTTGGTCCTGACGCAACTGGACCCAATATTCTGGTAGATGATACTCTTCCCTCAGAGGTGAGTCAGCAGTTTTTAAAGGCTTTGTAAAAATTATATCTTCAGAAAACTTGGAGGTTATGTCATTGTTAGATAAAATAGATGTATTCTTTTTTTCTGTTCTTTTTAAATCAATGCTGTTGTTAAACACATCCAAGAAAAAAAAAGCCATATTTTTGGGGTAATTTTTGTTGGTGCTGCACTTAAAATTCTGATAAGTAATGATAAGTCTGTTATCTTTGATATGGGGGCCACCTTTCCTAAAATCTAGAGTCATTTCTAAAACACATGGCTTGGGTATGGTTGTATTATTATACTGTGAAAGTGTTATTTCTAAGATTCCTTGCAAGCATATTTTTCTTTTTTGTATCTCTTGCCCTTTCTTATTTTTTAAAATAATTTTTTTATTCTTTTATTCATTTGTTTGTTTAATTGTTTATTTATAGTTTTGAAAAGGACCTCCTGAACTCAGTGATAGACAGCAAATTGTGCTGATACTTTCTCTCAACTTTTCTCTCGTTGGCAAGGCCGTTTAGAACTCTCTGCTAGACAGTACATCTTGTTGATGTTAGAGCTCAGCTTTGATTTCTTTTTGTTTGGGCTGACAAAGATCTGAACTCTGTGAAAGACAGTATATTTTTTTGATGTTGTAACTTTGAATTTTTTCTCCCCAAGTTGACAAAGGTCTCCTGAACCCTGTGAAAGACAGTATGTTTTAGTGATGATGATGACTTTGAATTTTTTCATCCCAGGTGGACAAAGGTCTCTTGAACTCTGTGAAAGATAGTATTGTCCAAGGTTTCCAATGGGGCACGAGGGAAGGACCTCTCTGTGATGAACGTGAGGACTTTTAATTTATTTATTCATTTATTTATTTTGCTTGTTCGTTAGTTTGTTTACGCTTATTTTATAGTTTTTTATTTGAAAATCATATTTCTCTACAAAGATCAAAAATATATCCAGCAAATAATGATGCTCTTTCAACAAAAGTAAACAGGTTGAACATTCTTTGATGATTAAAAATGGATGAAAGGCCCCTAGTCATTAACTGAACATTTTTCCATAGAACAAGTTGAAAGCTGAAAGAACAAGCTGAAAGTTGCCTTAATATTTCATAGTTTTCCACAGCTATCAGAAATGTGAAGTTAATGAAGATTTAAAATGGATTTAATGGCCCTATTCACCAAAAAAGTATTTTTATATACATCATGGTAGTTACATTTTATGAATGCTCCTGTTACATAAGATAATTAAATTGGTGGTGATTATGTTTTTAACTGTGCATAATTACAATTTGGTGTTCATTTGGCTATTTAACAGTATGTAGTAAAGCATCAAAATTTACAAAGTAACCTATTTTGTGCATAATTATTTTCTGTTTCTTGCCTGTACATTTGACAGCTCTACTGCCTTATTTCATAGTACAATTTTGTCTTAAACTTGCATAAATATTCTCTTGTTTTGCCACTGTGCCAGCTGTCAGAAATGTGAAGATTAAAATTCTATTAATTTAAGATTGATGAAATGCCCCTATTCATAAACAGAGCATTTTTACATAATACAAGTTTAATGTAGCTTTACATAAATATTTCATTGTTGTACCAATGGAATGCAAAGGTTAACATAATTTAAAATGTATGAAATGCCCCAATTCATTAAAGGAATAAGAACTGTTCCTTTTGGCCAAAAAATGAATTTCCTGGGGTAAAAAAAAAAAATTTTTTTTCATACTTACCAATAGTATTTCCATAGCCATTTTTTCATTCAAATTTAGTCCCTGATTTTAAAAAAAATCCTGAATAATTACTTTAACTGCTGTTTTTGTGGTAAAATAGAATGTTTATTATATTTCTATGAGTTGTTTAAAATGTTTTTCAGAGAAGAATTTCATCAGCTGTTTTATGATATAAGAATGATTCGTTTTTTTTTCTTCAGTCAACAGCTAATATATTGAGATCGCCAGGTAATCTCAATATAAACTGTTGACTGAAGAAAAAATTACTTCATTCTTACAATGTTTTTATTGTGAAACATACATCTCATACGAAGAGCTATTATCCCTTTAACAGAATTTTTTTTTTTACATAGCACAATATTGTCTTTAAGTTGCATAATTTATATTTGAAATTCATTTCTCCCCAGCGATCCGAAATGTAAAGTTTAAGATCTTGGATGCAGTGATAGCCCAGGAACCAATCCACAGGGGAGGTGGACAGATTATTCCAACAGCCAGGAGAGTGGCATACTCTGCTTTCCTTATGGTAAGTTGATGTAGCCAAATTGATACCCAATAATGGGTGCTACTGGCAAAGAAAAACATGGTTTGGAATGGGGCTTACTCTCTCTTTTAAATGTTGAGATATATAAAGCCATGATTAACACCCTATAGATGGTGGTTACAGTAAATGAACATATCGTTTGCGATTGTACTTTAAATGTTTTTTTTTTCTTACCATCTATGAAACAGATTTAGATATTAACATTTTCTCTGGATTTCTTACAATTTACAAACAAAGATAATGAATTAAATTTCATTTCCCTGTCTCTATCATTATGGTTATACATCTTGGCAGTTGGTCCATGATATCCTGTCTTTGTTTTGTTTTAATCTGTATAATTAGTCTTATTATAGAGGAGGAATATGATGATAAAAAAAATCATCTCTCTCCCTGTCTGTTTTCCAGGCCACACCCCGTCTTATGGAGCCGTATTACTTTGTAGAAGTCCAGGCCCCCGCTGACTGTGTGTCTGCAGTGTATACTGTACTGGCTAGGAGAAGGTGAGGAAAGTAGACAGCAAAGCTGGCATATATGTACAAATATTGAACAAAGAATATACAGTGGATGGGATGAGTAGGAAAAAGTTGTTGTTTCAGTGTTATTGTCTTGTGAAACATTGTAATATCCTTACAGATTTAATTGATACTTAAAAACTTTAAAATTGCATTTCATTGCTTGTTACTCAAGCAACGATTTTCTTTTTGCTTATGATTAAAAAAATGGCAATGATTTACCTGTAGTGCAAAGATATTTGTAGTAAATATTGCATTTTTTTTTTAAATAATAATTTCACTTTTATTTTCTGGTCCACAGGGGTCATGTGACTCAAGACGCTCCAATCCCAGGGTCTCCACTGTACACAATCAAAGCTTTCATTCCTGCCATAGATTCCTTTGGGTTTGAGACAGACTTGAGGACCCACACACAGGGACAGGCTTTCTGTCTGTCTGTATTCCATCACTGGCAGGTAGGGCAATGCTCAGTTTAACATTCAAACTGTTCCACAACAATGAAAAGTAAAACTATGTTATCAGAATAGCAGGGGAATTATACATACTTAAATGTATTCCAGATTGTAACTGGAGACCCCTTGGACAAAAGCATCATAATTCTATGTACCTTAATGTATTCCAGATTGTACCTGGAGACCCCTTGGACAAGAGTATCATAATTCTATGTACCTTAATGTATTCCAGATTGTAACTGGAGATCCCTTGGACAAGAGTATCATAATTCTATGTACCTTAATGTATTCCAGATTGTACCTGGAGACCCCTTGGACAAGAGTATCATAATTCGTCCCCTGGAGCCCCAGCCCGCCACTGCTCTGGCCAGGGAATTCATGATCAAAACCAGGAGAAGAAAGGTTTGTCATCAGGCTGCTCACTCAAGCAAACTTTAGAAAGAATATCGCTTTAAACTTTCTGAAAAAAGTTGATATAAAACATGACCGTTTCATTCTGGTTAAAAAACGGGCTAAGTGTTCCTTTTACTTTGAATACTACTGGTTTATCTTGGGTCAAAGGTGACCAAAAAGTTAAGAAAAGTTTTCAGTTTAAAGTTGTTTTACCAAACTGCCCCATGCTTTTTTTTTTTTTTGCCCAAGCTAAATAATGATAATGCTAAGCAAATTGAAACCTAAATTGAGTAAACTTGGCAAAATTTTTTAACATCTTCCCCCAAAAGTAACTATTTTTAGCATCAGGTTGAAATGAGCTGTGCAAAAGTGTCACATTTTGAAAGACAAATTCTTCTTTTTTCCAGGGTCTTAGTGAAGATGTCAGCATCAACAAATTTTTCGACGACCCTATGTTGTTGGAGTTGGCAAAACAGGACGTGATGTTGAACTATCCCATGTAGCTTTCCAACCTATAGGCCAGACAAAATTGATATGTTGGTTAATAAGCACAGTCGACCCTGATTTCGAGTACATCACATTTTTGGGCATCCAATTCTTTACTCAAATAGAAAAATGTATAAGGTATTGATTTGATAGGTGAAGGAAATTTACAGTTGACCCCAGAAAAATTTTGCTGGTGTTTTTATTGCTCTAAAATTGCACACGCTGTGGATTTCACATTTCCTCTCCCTAAAAAAAATAGCTAAAAACAACACTGACCAACCATAAAATAAATCCACTTTGCTTCTTAACCTTAATGTTTAAAAAAAAAAAAAAATAAGTGTTGTCTATCGACCCTGCTTACAGAGAGTCATTGCTAGATAGATAATATATCAGTTTTGTCTGGTCTTACTGAAGATTATCAAAAACAACCTTAAAAAATCCTTGAGTCAAGCATGGAGAACATATGCCCATGACGAGGACAGTAAACATTGTGTTCTGTGAAGGTGGAGTTTGTATTCAAAGATGAATAACAGCATGGCTTCAATAAAGAAATGTACTTGCCACCTTCTCTTCACAAATGGAGTAAGAAAAGAAATAGTGATACAAGACGCTGTATCCTTTGCGGAAATTGGAAGAAGGAACTGGTGTAACACAGAAAACATGGGACAATTTTTGATTTAGAGTGACAGAGAATATTTCATATTTTCACTTGTGTATTCCCATAAGCAGGGTGACTTGTATGTAAATGTAGTATTTTTATAAGAAAGCAATACGAAATGCCTTTCAGGTGTTTTTATTGCAAAAAATAAATGATGTATGCTTGGAGTAACGGTGGTACTATACTTCTTGTAAAGTCAATCGTAGAAATATATTTCCGTGTTTTGATGAATTTATTACCCGTATCAATGATTATGCAATGTCGTTATTATAGGAGATGGCTATTGTATACTCTCCTCTCGCAGAAAAGAAAGACTATAATAAAAACACAAATTTGAAATAAGCTTGAATTCATGTAGTGGAATTTTCAGCCATTTTACCCCTCATATCGTCCATAGCAGGCCAATTATATTTGTAACTGTGTCTTGGTGGACTTTGAAGATTGGTATCTCTTTGGTCCGGCTGACCTGTGTCTGTCTATCATATGGCATTGGTGGTTTGTAGTCCTGTTTGATCGCCAAGGTTTGTGAACAAAAATCAGTTTGTTTGTTTACTTGGTTTTCTGTAATTCACGTAATGTCTGAAGGTGGAAAACATTCCGGGCTGTCGTGAAATGCCAGACCTTGCTTACACTGGCTCATCTCGTCTGGAAGGATAACTTGATGACATCCAGCACAAATGGCGCCAAACTGGCTGATTTATGGAAGAAAACGAAATAATGATATGCAACAATTAATGAGAGAGAACGCTGTCACTGGTAGATTAAAGGGAGCAAGAACGGAATTTCAAGTTAAAGGTACACTTCATGGGATTTACCCACCAAAGTGGATTTTCCTGGGAAAATGAGCAAGTTTCTCGTACTCGCGAATCATTTACCTATCCCCCTCTGCACTTGAATTAGACTCTTGACAGAATGTATAAAGGTTGATTTTATGTGAAAATGACTGGCCAGTCATTATAACAGCGACCATTTTCCTATCAGCTCCAATAGAAATATCAACATCTGGTACGCCTGAGAAAAAATATTGAAGGAGTTAAGTCAATTGTTAAGGCGTATGTGAGACTGTATAAGAAGTTGCACAAGGCAAAAATAAGCATTTTGGGGATTTTCAAACCCATGGAGTGTACCTTCAATGGGAGCAATAATGAAAAACGAAGGAGAGAAAAAAGAAAAGACGTTGACATGTTAGGAAAGAAGGAGAAGAACGAAAAACTAAACAGTGAGTATTTTCTGGCGTGACATTATTCAGTGGCGTTCATTTATTCACTTACTTATTCATTGTTATCCTTTTTTTTATGAAAATGTGCTATATGCATACCCAATAAAATCACTTTTGCAATACAGTGCCCCGCTGTGTTGAAAGCATATGTCGGTCAGAAACTCCCGGCATACAACGCAGCGGAGACATCGTCTGTGGTAATGGAGGCCGCTTACAGCAAGAACCAGTTTTTCCTTTATAGGATTCTGACAATATGCGCAGGTGAACATGGCTGAAAGTAAAGGAAAACGTGGAATCATATAGTTACAGATGCTGACCTGAAAAGAACTTTTTTTCGGCGCGTTGCAATTGTATAATGATTATTGCGCTCTTCAGTGACCCCCTTAAGGCCGGTGATAGGGTTAACTACGCTTAAAAACATGTTTTTGAGTTTTTTGTGTGTTTATATTAATCAAAAAAGTATCTAACGTTNCCCATGGAGTGTACCTTCAATGGGAGCAATAATGAAAAACGAAGGAGAGAAAAAAGAAAAGACGTTGACATGTTAGGAAAGAAGGAGAAGAACGAAAAACTAAACAGTGAGTATTTTCTGGCGTGACATTATTCAGTGGCGTTCATTTATTCACTTACTTATTCATTGTTATCCTTTTTTTTATGAAAATGTGCTATATGCATACCCAATAAAATCACTTTTGCAATACAGTGCCCCGCTGTGTTGAAAGCATATGTCGGTCAGAAACTCCCGGCATACAACGCAGCGGAGACATCGTCTGTGGTAATGGAGGCCGCTTACAGCAAGAACCAGTTTTTCCTTTATAGGATTCTGACAATATGCGCAGGTGAACATGGCTGAAAGTAAAGGAAAACGTGGAATCATATAGTTACAGATGCTGACCTGAAAAGAACTTTTTTTCGGCGCGTTGCAATTGTATAATGATTATTGCGCTCTTCAGTGACCCCCTTAAGGCCGGTGATAGGGTTAACTACGCTTAAAAACATGTTTTTGAGTTTTTTGTGTGTTTATATTAATCAAAAAAGTATCTAACGTTGGATGTAATAATTTTTATAAATTTGNAGCTTTGTTTCTATGACTTTGGTCCTTTTACTATTAGTCCCCTTAACATTTCTTATAAACTCGCTATAAAAGTACCTGTCCAAACCTGTCCGCGTAGGTCTCTGAAATAGTTCGGGAAATAAATTGGTAGAACACACGGTTTTGAAGAGTAAAGCACATATATTGTAGAAAAATGCATTGGTTTTAACAGTATGAAAAAAAAAAAAAACAGTACCTCGATTAGTACATTTACAATACTTTCTTGTACACAACATTGCCGGTGGTAGAAGTGGATCTTTGACGCCAACATGCGATACTGCAACATACTGTATGCTGAAAGAAAGAGTTATCATTTTTCTGGTCATACCCTCTGTTGATATATCCGATATAATTCCCTGAATACACCTCAGCTCATAACAACAACGGACGGACCCCCAATCATGGAGTCACGAGAACAAATGCGGGCTTTCTAGGGTCCTGGCACATAACCTTTTGCATAAAAAAACGGCATAGTTTAGAAAAAAGTGATCGATTTGACAACAATTTATTGCTGGTCATTATCATTTTGTCTGCGCCGTCAATTATATTTCTTATGTCACGGATTTGACACTTCCTCGCCGTTGTGCACGGTGGCATAGCATGGGTATTCACCGCAAGCCAGATTAGCGGGACCAAAGATGGGCCTCCCCTCGCTTATTGTATATAGAAGCGAATGCAGTGTCACCAAAGGTTGAAAAAAAATGAATCTTTGAAAAAATTCCTTTTCCTATTATATGTAGATTTGTTATCTGACAATATAGGCACACAATGGTTAAATAAATTGTTAGATCAATATTTACTTTTTAAAATTTTGATAATTATATTTTACAACAAATCGGAAAGTGCAGTAAAATATCGCCACTTATGTAAGATAGATGTGGCATATTTTTTCACTTTTTCTTGACACTGGTCATGGTATGGGCATTTAGGCCTACGCCGTATTCAAGTACTTAATTGAACGAAGCGAACATGAAAGGGGATATTTAACAGCCCTATGCTTTCAATCAAACGCCATTGCAAACGAATGTCGTTGTTTAATACCGACAGCGGTTAAATATGCCCATTCATACGATTTTTGTCATCTAGTTTTCATACAAGCTGGATCTGAAACTGTGAACGTAATGACATTAACTCGGATAGTATAATAATCGGGTAATGTACTGCGAGTAACTTACTAGTATCATCTGTCTTCGGGGAAGACGGCATTTGTTTTCAGCACTCTCCACTCTTTCCCTCTCTCTCCTTCCCTCTCTCTCTTGTTAGCAGGCTAACTTCATGCAGTCGTTATCTGATGTTTCGTCCACTGGCTTCTTCTTTCCTTACACACATACCTACTAAAAACGCGAGTCCACTGCCTAAGTCGAAATATGCCTACCTCCCCTACCCCTGTCTTGAGACGTCATTCAGCGATGCTTGCAACAAGGTGGCATGTAAGACACGTCAGCCTTATCATATTGTCCCTATTGCGATCAAGGCGTCTTGGGGCAAACAATGACCAGCCAGTCTGATTGTGATCAGTCCGTCTGTGCATATGACGTCATCATTACGTAATCAACATTTGGCCTGATAGTCCGCACAACCCGTGGGCTCGTTTTGTTCTTATTTTTGTTGACAATGGTAAAAGTAAGATAGTAGTAAACTGTTGCTTCTTTTTATTGACCAACTTAAAATATGAATAACTGAATGGAGAGACTTAAATGCCTAAGTTTTTTTTTGTCTTCTTCGGGGAAGAGTTATAAGACTTTGACCGTTGATACGTGAGGTAAACATGAAGAAAAGTGAAATGCATCCACAGATCTTAAGCTATGTAAGAAACAATTGTTGCTTATTGTTGTTAAGACACACACACACGCACACATATTGGTTTTTCTGTGTTTAAAAACAATTTGCCACGCAATGATTTAAGGGAGATTCCGATGAATTATACTGGAAAACGATTAAGAAAAGAAATAAAAAATCAATTTGTTTTTATATTATTTCATTTTACTTCTTTTTAACCCCAAGTATCATTTTACGACATTATACCAGGGCCACAGATTGATTTTTTCTCTAGATATTCACAGGTAGGCCTAAGTCTCTAGTTAAATGATGGGACATTTCTACACTTCGCGTCAGAGAAAAGTGCAGATTAAAAACTGCTACCTTGGTAGAGGTATCATTTTAATGTAATTGAGAAACGTAATAGAGTCACCCGATAACTGCATTAATACCTCATTTTAGAACGTACATGTAAATCAATTAATGAGATTTGAAAGAGACAGGTGTTTTCAATTCTGCCGTCAAGTCAATTAGTCACGGCAACCGTAGATCTAAACTGTGACACGTCAACATTTGTTGATGAGAAGTCTTTTCACCTCTTAGTGTCTGTTATAATATTACGAACATAATGCAAGAATAGAATAGTATAATACAGCTGAATGTTTCACATTATTCACTTTAATACTAATGCAATATTATTACGAATGCACAACGTACCGAAGCATATTTTATTTTATTTCATTATAACTCCTAGTATCCTTTTAATGTAATTAAGAACCTTACTCGAGTCACCCGATAAGTACATCCACATTTTAGAACGTGCATGTAAGTCAATTAATGAGATCTGAAAGAGACAAGTCAGCCGTCAAGACAAACTTAAATTGTTGTATTAAGGTGAGAAGTCGTTTTCTAGTTACCTGCATACAAGCTTGTCTTAGTATCTGGTATAATATGATGCAAATCAGTATTAACCGATTGTTGCATTTGCTGTGTGATAGTTACACCACGAGACGTCAGCTGTTTGCGACATACAAGCGCTTAATAGCGAACGATATCGGAGATGCAGAGGCGTTTTTAAGTTTATTTAGAACTAGAATAACAGACTGTGCACAACAAACTATATTTGCCGATATTAATGTATCACCTAAATGCATCAGTTATAAACTCTACAAAAGCGCTTTAAATCCTGAACGATACCTTTCACTGCCTTTAACCTACAAGCAAAGAAAAATACTTTCAAATTTTCGTTGCTCAAGTCATGAGCTCATGATCGACAGAG